TGTGACAGCTGGAAGGAGCAGCGGTTTTGGGTGCAGGTGACTGGGCAGGTTTTTGGGCAGATGATACCAAGACAGGGGAGGGGTAGGCAGAGGTATTTGTTTTCTTCTGTCAACACTTCCTCATACGTCGGATGAAGCAAGCAATGGGCTTGGCTGGCTGCAAGCCAGGCGGCATCTTCCAGCGCCCTGGAGCTCTGGCCAGCCCGAGAAGCGTGCGGGATCAGGCCTCCCTGGCATCTCAGAGTGCCAGGCACTGCTGGTTGGAGAAGGACAGTGGGATTTCAGGGTGTAGGCACTGGAGCTCCCTCCTGCTCCCTCCTGCCCTTGGGACACAGCCTGGCTTTGCAGAAAGATTGCCCTCATGCTCTGGAGGTGCCTTTCCCCAGGTCCAGGCAGCTCTAGCTCCTCACAGCCCAGCTCTCCAAGGCCTGCACTGTGCCAGGTCGTGGCTGCCAGCAGATGCTGGTGGGCAGGCTTCAAGCTGGGGCACAGCTGCCCCATGCCCACGAGCTGCCTGCAATACCGGGGCGGCCGTCCCTCCCCCTCCTCCTGCCACCATGCATGAGGAACGTCTCCCCGTGGTGACGAATCCAGCTGAATCCAGGCGCAGGCTGCGATGCAGACAGTCACCAAGGGAGATTGTACCACGTGCATTCCCGCAGCCACGGGGAATGGGGACCAGGGCTTGCCTGCTAAGTCCCCTGCATCCCCCCGTGCTTGGCCATGCTCTGCAGGGGCTCTGGCAGTGCCTGGGTGGGATGGAAAGTGTCCTTTGGACATGGCCCTGTGCAGATCCACTTGCAAAGGGCTGCCCAGCTGCCCCCAAAGGATGCACTTGGAGGTCACGGTGCTCCCGGCCAGGGAAGCAGGTGTGGCACCTGTGGCTGCAGACAAGGAGAGGGGACCTGCAGCCAACAGGGCCCAGGGCTGATGTTGGTAAACATCCCCTAGCTGGGTTGTGATCCTGTGGCCCTGGGGCTATGCCCTGGAGGTGACAGCCTGTTCTGGGAGCAGCCCAGTCATGCCCTAGCCTGGTGCTGCCTTCCCACTGCTGATCATTAACCACCCTTACTGGGTGGTGAGTTCAAGGACCCACTCAATGACTGTTGTCCCCAGGTTAAGCAGAGCTGGGGCCATGCTGGAAGCAGCAGGACTTAGTCCTGCTGGTGGTTGCTGCAATGGTCCTGCATCTCAGCACACTCCTGTGCTTGGCACTTGTCTCTGTCCCTGCTGTCCCTTCTTGGTCTTCCTTCCCCAAAAGATCCACCAGGCTGTCTCTGCATCTCTGGGGTGGGTGAAGGATGTGCCAGTCTGTGCTGAGGGTCAGCGCCTGGGGTACTTGGTGCTGGGAGAGGAAGTGAGCCCAGAAACACCAGCCCAGGCCATCTGCAGAGCACTTCAAGGATGCTGCCAGCTTGGGGGTGCCAGGGGCAGGTGCTTGAGCTGAGCTGATGCTGAGGGGTCTATGGGATGAGTGCAGATAGGCACATTCAGGGCAGCGTTGGGGCAGGGAGGGTCTGACCCAGCTCGTCCCATTGACCTTGCTATGCTTTGTGCATCACAGGTGATATCCCGACGCCTTTATGGACCTATCTGGAAGTCAACCTTCGGACATTATAGGAACATCAACATCGGGAGCCCGGTGGTGCTGGAGCAGCTGCTGCGGCAGGAGGGCAAGTACCCGATGCGGAGCGACATGGCCCTGTGGAAGGAGCACCGGGACACCCGGCGCCTGCCCTACGGACCCTTCACCGAGTGAGTCTTGCCCTGGCTGTGCTCTCTGGGCCAGCATGCATCTCCTGCCCTTCCTTACGTGTAGGGCCCAGGTGGCAGTTTGCATTACTCCCGCTCCTGCGAGCTGCCTGTCCCCACCAAGCAGAAGGGCATGGCCACGGTGGGTGGAATGACCCCTGGGATGGTTCCAGCCCAGGGTGGGGAGTGCACGCACAGGGATTGGGGAACTGCTGCCAGCCACTGCCCCCTGCCCGTCCGTGCCCCCAGCGCTGAGCCTCGTCCCCACCCAGGGAAGGGGAGCGCTGGTACCGCCTGCGCCAGGTCCTCAACAAGCGGCTGCTGAAGCCCTCGGAGGCGCTGCTGTACGCGGATGCCATCGGGGAGGTGGTGTCAGACCTGATGGTGCGCCTGCGGGAGGAGCGGAGCCGCAGCCCCTCGGGCGTGCTGGTGGGGGACGTGGCCAACCTGCTCTACCGCTTTGCCCTGGAAGGTAGGGGTGTCCTCTCCCTCACCCCTGCCCTGTCCCACATTCCCATTCCTCCAGAGGTCTGGATGCTGTTTGTCCCCCACAGGCATCTCTTATATCCTCTTCGAGACCCGCATCGGGTGCCTCAAGCAGCAGGTCCCTGCTGAGACCCAGCGCTTCATTGACTCCATCAACCTCATGTTCAAGAACTCCATTTTTGCCACCGTCCTGCCCCGATGGAGCCGCAAGGTGCTGCCCTTCTGGGACCGTTACCTGGACAGCTGGGACACCATCTTCGCCTTTGGTGAGCGGTGACCATGGGGGTCCAGTGTGGTGGCACTGGACTCCCTAAGGACCCTCAAAAGTGGGGCAGTCCCTGGCCAAATGTCTTTTTGGCAGCCCTCGCTCTGTCAGCTTTGGTTCCTACTCTCTGTCCCTGCAGGCAAGACACTGATTGACCGAAAGATGGAGGAGCTGGAGGGGCAGGTGGAGCGTGGCAAGGAGGTGTCCGGCTACCTGAGCTACCTGCTGGCCAGTGGCAGACTCAGCCTGGATGAGGTCTATGGCAGCGTGGCCGAGTTGCTGCTGGCCGGTGTGGACACGGTGAGAGCCAGGCAGCTGCTGCCAGGGGATCCCTGCTGTGCTCCATGCCCAGGGGAACCCATGGGGCCATGTCCACCCAGCCCTTGCGAGCTTTAGCCCGGTTGGGGCTGATGCCCCAGAGAGGCAAACCCTCAGGGATTGGTCAGTACAGACCCTGTCCTCTGCTCTGCTTTGTATCCTGCGCCCTGCCTCCCTCTCCGCTGTGCTTGCTGCCCCTCACCCCTGACTTTCCTGCATACCAGAGCAGGGGCTCTCTGGTACCGTACTGATGCTGTGCGTGGCACAAGGCTGCTCAGGTACTGGCCCCAATTCCTTCACTCTCCCTGGTGCTCCACTCCCCAGACCTCCAACACGCTGTCCTGGGCTTTGTACCACCTCTCCCGGGACCCAGACATCCAGGAGACCCTGTACCAGGAGCTGAAAGCTGTTGTGCCTGCTGACCGGTTTCCTGCCGCTGAGGATATCCCCAAGTTGCCGATGCTTCGGGCCATTATCAAGGAGACTCTGAGGTACATCCCAGCCGTGTCCCCTCCCCTGAGGTGCTGGTCACCAGCCCCTTCGCCAGGGGGGATGCACCAACCAAGCAGGATGCAAGGCTGAATTTCAGTCCCTCTGGACTGCAAATATCCACCTGCCCCCCTGGGGAGCTGCTGAGCCTTGTCCTGCCTGCGTCTCGCTCTCTCCTGGCTCTGCAGATGAGTCCTGTTCCCCCACTAACTCTCCCCATATCCCAGAGTCTACCCTGTGGTGCCCACCAACGCCAGGGTCTTCTACGAGAAGGACATTGTCATCGGAGACTACCTCTTCCCCAAGAACGTGAGTGGGGGCCGTGCTGGGGGGACCCCCGGTGCACTCCGTGGGGCCAGGCGGGGTCATTAAACCCCAATTCCCACCCTGCAGACTAAGAACGTGAGTGGGGGCCGTGCTGTGGGGACCCCCTCTGCACTCCGTGGGGCCAGGCGGGGTCATTAAACCCCAATTCCCACCCTGCAGACCCTCTTTGTCCTGGCGCACTACGCGATGTCCCATGATGAGACCTACTTCCCCGAGCCTGAGCGGTTCCTGCCCCAGCGCTGGCTCCGGGGACATGGCTCCCCTCACCACCCCTTCAGCTCCATCCCCTTCGGCTACGGGGTTCGCGCGTGTGTCGGGCGCCGCATCGCTGAGCTGGAGATGCACCTGGCCCTTGCCAGGGTAAGTAGGGATCCCTCCACTTCGGGTATCTTGCCATGAGCTGGGATGGGCATCTCAGGGAATCCCCAAGGCACTGCCAACCCTCCTTCTCCCCACAGATGATCCAGGCATTTGAGGTGCGGCCGGACCCCCGTGGCGTAGAAGTGACATCTGTGTCCCGCATTGTCCTGGTGGCTGACAAGCCCATCAACCTGGAATTCATCGCTCGCCCAGGAGCCCCCTGACTGCACGTCCATCCCCCACCCTGGGTGCCAGATGGAGATCCCCCTTACTGCCCCACAAGGAGGATAGGAAGGCAAACCCCTTCCCTGGCCAGCTTGGGCCTGGGGGCTCACAGCCCCACAGTGGGAAAGGTGGGGGGGATGAGAGATTGCCCCCAAATCACCCTTGGGCCACTAGTAGCCCCCTGCCCAAAATCAGCAGGAGGTTTAGGGAACTGCTGTGCCTTTGACACACTGCAGGGGGGTTGTGTCCCCCCATCCCGTGTCCAGCTGGGCTGCATCACGAGCCTGGGAGCTCTTTGGGACTGGGGGAAAGCAGGGAGGGGGCTTGCAGCCATTTGGTGTCTCCTTCGTCCTGTCCTTGTGTAGCTGCGTGTGGATCTGTGCCTGGAGCCAGGACATCTGGGTCCTCTCTGAACAGCTGACCTTGGCCTCAGAAACTTCTCTGTGCCTCACTTTTCCCCTTGCTCCCAGGGGAGGGTTGAGTGCTAGCGGTGTTTGGGGTTTGCGCCTTTCCCAAGGGACAGAATCAGCCCTGGTCCTGAGAAAGCCCTGGTCCAACAATAACACATTCCTCATGATGGGAGGAGGTCTGTCACCACCCAGCACTGGTATTGCATCCCCTGGCAGAGCCAGCCGGCTCAGGAGGGATGTTTAGATTCTGGGACCTTCCACTGTCAGCCTTATTGCACTGAGATGCTGATAAGGGGTCACTGATAAGGGGAATGGCAGGGCTCACTGCAGGCAAAGCAGGAAGAGAAAGATCAGCTCAGCATCCCCTACTCCCAAACCAGGACCATTGCAAGGCTCACAGCTGGTAGCAGCCACAGGCAGGGGATGCATTGCCATTTGCCCAGAGTCCTTGAGGGATGGGGCATGGAACATTTTTAACAGTGAACCCCTCATACTTTTCTTCTTCTTGGACTGAGGGAAGCAGCAAGCAGAAACCTTTCTGGTACCAAAGCTTCTGTCCCTCAGTGTGTCCCCAAAGCGACCTGCACGTCACCAAGATGATTAAGACTGCATGTCTTGTGTCCCCATCCCCTCAGTTCTACCCACATGTGCCAAGGTACTACTCTGCCAGTGCCAAACTTGCTGGCAAACAGCCAGCACCCCTTCCCCAGCCTGATTCTCTCCAGAGCAGTCATGCCCAGCTTTACCCCAGAAAGGCAAGAGGCAGTTCTTGGATCAGGCTGTTTTGTTACAGCAAGGCTGAACAGACTAACAAATAAATAAATATCCCCTGCCCGCCCCAAAACGTGCACAGGGTCTCCATGCAAGTGCCCATCCTGCTGCCAGCTCTGGCACAGACTGTGCCTCTGCCAGAGAGCTCCAGCCCCGTGTGACCCTAAAATAAAAAAGCCTGTGTGTGCAGCTGAGCCTACGCTACCAGGCACCGAGCACAGACAGCGGGACTGTGTTCACTAGGAGGGAGCCACAATAGAAATGCTCGGATCCATCAGCAGGATGGCAGAGGGGTGGCCAGGTCCTCTGGGGCTATGTGGGTCTCTGCCCAGCTGCAGGCATGTTGCAGCCCCTCCAGCATCGTGCCCACTGAGCATCACTGTGTGCTCAGTGGCAAGAGGCACCCCTGGGTCCCATTTTCAGTGTTTCTGCCTCTCCGAGACTGGCAGAATCTAGCCCTGGACTCAAGACGAGCCCGAGGACTGGGGTGAACAGGCATGTGCTCCCCACAGAGAGCCTTCGGGCCCAAGCCTCCTTCTCACAGGTCGCACAAGAGGTCCCCGAGTCAGACGAGACAGTGGCATTTCCCTGGTGTCTTCAGAGTGAGGATCGGTCGATGCCTGTGGGGCAAGACAGCGTGTGAGACCATAACCCAGATCAGTGCTGGACTGAGCACCCTGTGACATGGCCCCTCCAACCATCCCAGTGGACACTGGGGTCTTTCCTCCAGTCCTTGCTTGTATGCAAGCCCTGGGGTAGGAGGGAGAGAAGTTTGGCTGGCATGGCACATCTCAGTGGCCCCCTGCAGCTCCTGATACAGCCACCCCTGTGGGCATCAGGGAGAGGGTGAGCAAAGGCACTGTGGTGGGGGAATGGGGGGAGGGGGGCAAGGGGGATATCCCATTTGTGGCTAACACACGCCATTCCCAGTCCCCTTCTGTGCAGAGCAGCTGGGCACTGCTGGGGGAGCTGGTAGGCACAGGCGTGTCCCAACCCCTTGCCCACCACCACCCCAAAAAGCATAATTACCTTTGGGAAGCAGTTGGGAACTGGAGCCAGCTCCCCCCTCCTCATTTCACCCCTAAAGAGATGCCACAGTGGGTGCCAGGACCATGCCCATCCATAGCCAGTGAGGATTCACCAGGCAGTGGGTGAGCAGAGCCAGCTGCAGGTGGCCAGGCAGTGTGGTTCCAATGCCACCTGGGAGTGAGCCCTGTCTCTGGAACAGATGGTTTTGGGGCTGCTGCAAGTGGAGGGGGTGGGGGACTCTGCCAGCTGGGACCCATGAGCTGGCCACGTTTTGCTTATGGCTAGTGGTGGGCACCATGTCTGGGGTGTGCGAGCGGGGATCTGTCCACTCTGTGTCCCTTGGGAATGGCACTGGAGGTGCTCAGGTCTCAGAGGGGAATGAGGCAAGATCAAAAATAGGCTTTTGTCTTGGGGTGCATCACACCCAAGACAACCCAAAGCCCAGGGACCTGCAAAACCTGCATTCCACACACTGCCTGAATGGGGTTCTGGCAGAGTGTCTCCATGGAAGGTGCCCCCATCCCTCCTCACCGTCACCAGGGATCCCCTGTGATCCTTGTGCATCCCCGGGACAAGCAGCATCTGGGTCCTGCTGTCCCCACCTGGGCACCCAGCGCTGCCACACCCCAGCCCCAGCCTCCTCCATGCCCCAGGACCACTTTGGATGGGGCAGAGGCAGGTGACCCAGCAGCAGGGAGGGGACAGGCACACAGCAACGGGGGGGTGGCACCTACCTGAAGTGGAGAGAAATTGAGGGTGCAAATGGAGAAAGATGGAGCACCGTGGGCTAAGAGTTAAGAGCATCAATACCTGCAGGAGTGAGCACAAGGGCCTGCAGGATGTCAGAGAGGGAGACGATGCCCCGCGGGTACCGGTTCTCATCCACCAGAACCAGGCGATGGACCTGTGGGGGCAGGCAGAGCATCACGGCAGGCTGGGCAGCTGGCAGCCAGGCTGGCACAAGGCACCCCAGCCACTCACCTGCTCCTTGGCAATACGGTCAATGATGTCCTCCATAGGTTCATGGGGGTAGCAGGTGAGGACCCCCTCCAGGCAGACACTGCGTTGCTGCAGTGCCTCCCTCACACTGATCTCCAGGTTGTTGTAGGTCTTCTGGGCTGCCAGGTGCTGTGATAGATGTGTCCCCATTCAGCGCCCCACGGTGTCCTTGCACCCCCTTGTGCCACCACAGAAGGGACGCTGAGCCCAGGAGGTGCACAGAGCAATGTGCACTGGCACGTGCATGACAATGCACGTGGCGTGGGTTTGCATGGGCACAGACAGGTATAAGCACCCCACCAGTGCATGCAAGGGGCCAGACTTGAGCCTGGGCATGCACACACGCAGGGTACTCACAATGACATCAAACCGCGAGTACAGGCCAACCACTTGCCCTGCAAAGAGAAACAATGCAGGGGCTGCAGAAGGAGCCCTAGGGACCAGCTGCCATGCTCCTCCCACACCCCAAGGGCCAGAAGAGGGGTTTTGGGTAGGGATGGTGCTGGAGCTGTTAGCAGAGGGAGATGAGGACGTCACTTTTTCCCTCCCCAGGTACCAGCATCATTGATGACAGGCAAGGCGGAGACGCGGCGATCCACAAAAATCTCCAAGGCAGTGTGGATTGGGGCAGTCTCAGCCACCACGGCCAGATCACGGAAGGTGCCAACGCACAGTTCCTGCACTGTTTTCTTCAGGAAGCGTGGCTTGGGGATGGTAGAAGCCTTCAATGGGACAGGGCAGGGCTGGGCTGGCACCTGCATGTACCTTGACACCCTTGCCTGTGACACCAGCCATGAGTGTACACAAACAGCCCCAGCACTCACAAAGATGTGGAGAAACTTGAGGATGCGCTTGTGCGTCAGGATGTGCAGGACATTGCCCGAGACAGGCTCAATGACAGGCAGGCGGTGGATTTTGTGCTTGATCAGGGAGTAGACAGCATCAAAGAGGCTGTGGGTGATGAGGACATCGTGGTGGGATAGGGCTGCGTTCAGGTGCACACACACACCCACTCCAAGGGGTGTGCTCTCCCCCAGTGGACAGGCTCTCACCTATTGCTTGGAGAGATGTAGACCAGTGGCTTGAGGGAGCCCTGCAGGTACACCTCTGCCAAGGGAGAGAGCTATGAGAGGAGGTCCTCCAGCCCTCTCCTGCAGCCCCACAACCCCAGAGTCCACCTCCCATGCCCTGTGTGACAACATCAGCCCAGCCACCCACATGATTTTTACCTCTCCAGGTCTCAATCTTGTGCTCCTCCACCTCGTAGATCTGAACCTGGAGGCAGGGAAATGCCCTGGTCATAGTGGCTCCAAGTGGGACTGAGGACACTCTGAGACACTGCCCCTTTCCATGGGCATTGCACCCAGCGACCCAAACACAGGGATTACATTTTGGGAGCCAAGCAGGGGAGGAACAAGTGGATGCTGGTCTGGCCCGGAATCATCCCCTGGTCACTGTCTAGCGATTAAGAAGGGACCAGGAGTGGTGGGGACGGCCGCTCCCTGTGCCATGCATGCCCTGATCCCCCAAGCCCTCCTCACGGCACTCACCAAAGGTGAGCGGTAGTAGCGGTGGAGGATGTTGATGAAGTCGGTGATGGTGAGCATCCCTGTGGAGACAGGTGGGGCTGGCAGCGCTGCCTGTACCCTCTCTGCCAGGCAGGGGATGGGGCCAGGCATTGCTTCTGGCACTCACCCACAAAGCTCTGCGTCTTGCTATCCCAGAGAGGGGCAGCACGAACCCCGTTGGCCACCAGTGCCAAAAAGGCTTTCTTGATCTGCTGGCAGAGTGCAGAGGGGTTCAGAGGATCCCCAAGTCTACTTCTTCACTGCCCATCCCCACTCATCCCCCAGGTTATCACCTCCAGGGAGACGTCAAAGACAACGAGCTTGCAGCTGGTGGGGATGGCATCATAGCAGCAGTGGCTCCTCAAGAAGTGCATATAGACCTCGGCATCAGGGGTCTGAAACTCGGCCTCTGGGCCCAGCCCCAGTATCTCATTTCCCAGTGTGAAGGTGACAGGTCTCCTGTATTCTTCCTCCTCCTCTTCCTCCTCCTCTTCCTCCTCCCTGGGGCATACAGCCTTCGGAAACCCTGCAGGCAGTCATCCCAGCCCTAGCCAGTAAGCTGAGCTGCTGGGTCTCAGCTGCTGGGTCTCAGCACCCTCCTGCCTGGGGGGAGCAGGGGATGCTCCCAACAGAGCTCCAGTGTTCCCTATTCCACAGGGGCAGCACATAGCAGTTCTCCAGCCTGGGGCAGATTCCAGCTGAGGAGAGGGGTATGGGCAGGGTGGGCAGAGGACCAATGCACTTGTCACATGGTAAGGCAGCCCCCCCTCCTACACACCTAGACTCTTCTTGCTACCCACCTTCCTCCTCAGGGCACACAACAGCATCCCGCAGCGCCACCTGAGAGGGCACACAGTGAGGAGGGATCAGCAGGAGTCAACACAGTCTCTTCCCCACCCATGGATTCTGCCTGTACCCACCCAGTTGCTTTGGCCTACCCAAGCCAGGCAGAGAGAACTGTCTTTTCAGGGTGGGTACGTGGGCACCCCCCACCAGCCCAGGACCCCCAGAGCCTGCAGTCTCCATGGTGGCTCCAGTCCAGGACACCCAGCTTGTCCTCCTGCTCTGGGGAGACAGCAGGGTCTCCAGAGCAGGACAAGGCATGGATGGCAGGACCTCCTGCCTTCTCTCTCTGCTGCTGGAGCCAAGCATGTCCCACAGCAGCTCTGCACCCATCCTCTCCCAATCCCAAGGTGTAAATTCTGTTCTTGCTTCTTCCAGTGCAGAGAGCCTTGCCAACCCCATTGGCCCCTCCCAGGGACCATGTCCATCCCAGGAACCCTACATTAACAAAGCAGCAGCCCGAGGAAGAAGAGAGTGCACAGGGCCAGACGGCTGCCCCCGTTCCCCCAGTCCCCAGGAGACCCTACATACAGCAGCACGTGCAGAGGGAAGAGCTGAAGAGCTACCCCGGCCACAAACCTTCCTGACAGAGCCAAAGTTTACAGGCCACCCTATAATAATGAAGGCATAAAGACAAGGACCACTCCCTGAGGAACCTAGAGCCAACACGGAGAAGGAAGAGACCCTGCACAACCTGCCCCAACTGCTCCCAAGGGGCTTGGCACAGCTGGGACAAGGACGTCCTTGTCCCCAGGGCTGCACGTCCGTGGGAAGGGGCCCGTCAGCCGCCCACATTCTCCCACCCCCGGGGTGGCCTGTCCCCACGCGGGGGTCTGTAGGGCCGCGCCCCCCACCCAGCCTTACGGTACCTGGGACGCGGCGGGGCCACGGAGCTGCTCCATGCTATCTGCGGAGCAGCGCTGCTATTCTGGGCCCGCGGCTGGCGTGGCCCTGGCAGATAGAGTGTCAGCGAGCAATGCCAGCCATGCCCCCACCGCCACCGCCGGGGGGGGGACACGGCCGACACCACCGAGCAGCGCCCGCAGCCACCGAGCAGCCTCGGGCTGAGCTAGGTGGTCGCGGCCCCGGGGGCAGCGCTGGTCCTGGGGACCCGGGGGAGGGGGCGATGGAGGGATGGCTGGGGGCAGAGAGCAGAGGGACACCCCTCTCTGCGGACCCCCGTCCCCCAGGAGCCAGGGACGCGGTGCTGCCCCGCCCCGTCCGCGGTGGGGGGCACAGCGTTCCCCTCTCCAGGGGATGCTGGAGAAGGGCTGGGTCCTGCCATGGGCTGGGTGAGTGCGGACCCTTTTCCCTCGACGCTGCCCAGCCCTGCCTGTCCCTGCCCGGGATCCTGCTGCAGCTCACTGTCCGCGGCGACCCTGGTCCCACGGCGAGGGCAGCCCGACCGTGGTGTAACTCCTTCCTTGCCGCGGGGCCACCCCTTCCTGCTCGCCCTCTGCCCGCTCCCGGCTCCGTTTTCTATTTCTGGGAGGCTGTCGGGCTGGCTGCAGGGCTGGTGGCTACAGGGCCAAAGGGACAGGTCTCTGGCTGCAGGGGACAGCTGGATACTGGCCCATGGCGGGGTACAAGGAGTTCTCTGGTGCAGCCTGACCGCAGGCAGCAAGAGGAGGGACGAGGCCGTGAGGCCGGTGCTGGCTCACAGGGTGGCCCAAATCCCGCAGTGGTGCGGGGGCCCTTGGGGCCAGACCCTTACAGCTGTGCTGTGCAGAGCAGCCTGGCTCCAGCCTGGCCATCGCGGGTGCTGGCAGCAGGGAAGGGAGCAGGCATCTCCACTTTCGGAGGCTATTTTCAGGTGCTGGAGAGAAGCCGAGGAGAGATGAGATTGTCACCAAGGAGACCAGAGAAACAGGGCCCGGCACTGGGAAATGGTGGGCTGCGGGAGGGGAGGGAAGGGCTCTCTAACAGACCCAGGGCCCATACACCAGCACCTCCTCTGGGCCCCAAGAACCTGCCCATACACCCAGCATTCACCTACCATACTGGGGGGACAGAACCCTGAACCAGCAAGGGCCAGCTCTGGGCACCCAACCCTTCCTACCCCTCTCGTAAGGTTGGACTGCACTGTTCCCCTTGACTAATGATGCACAGGATAGTCCCTAAGACATAAGGAAGACTCCAGACCAAAGCAGTTATGCTAGGAGCTGCTTTTCCATGCAGGGGGGTATGTTTACCTGCTGTAGGGCAGCGAGAATAACCCCAGGCTCTGGGAAGGACAGGGAAGTGGAGTGGTACCACAAACCCAGTATCAGAGCCCAGTGAAGCATGGGAAGGAGTGAGCTTCCCACCAGACACAAAGAGGTCAGGGAAAGGAAGGCAGATGAGAACCAGGAGAGCAGTTGAGTGTTAAAATTTAATAGAAATCCTTGAGAAACAAAGGGAAAATAGAGAGCAGACCCAAGAGAAGAGCACTAGCCTGCAGTCTATGCACACATGCTGCAGGGCACACCAGAGAGCCAATGGCCTTGAGAAAGATGCTCCCTCCCCAGCAGCCCCACTGCCCCCACAACAAACTGGAGCCACACTGGTACCCGTGGTCTCTCTGGAGCTGCAATGTGCAAGGCTGAGGTCTCCTGCAGGGCCTGTTGCTGGGGGAGGGCAGGATGTTGGCACAGACATTCACAAAGGATAAAACTGGGAAGTTTTACTCCCTCTCAGGCGTGAGGACTGGAGACTTATCTCCAGGGGCCAGGCTGGAGCAGGGAAAGAGCAGGCTCAGCTGCCAGCAACTCAGGACACAGACAGAGGCGAGCAAGGGCTCAGCCTATGCTGACTGGGGACAAGAAGGGCAGGCTCAGCCAGCTCCCACACAGCAAAGAAACCACCATGTCAGGCTTTTAGAACAGTCTAGAACAAAGGCCAGATAACCCCCACTTCCTCAAGCTTTGCCACTTGTTTTAGAAAATGAAGTCACACAGGTCTCCTCTTTGCCCAGGAAAACATCTCTCTCTACAACCAGCACCAAAACAAGTGTGCAGTGTGAAGGGCTCCCACAGTCCTTGCTCTACAGAGCCAGCTCCTGTCTCTTCCTTTGAGGTAGGTTGATGTGTCCCCAGGGAGGGACGGTGGCTGCTTGGTCACATCACCAGGGCAGTGTCAGACAGGCAGCCAGCAGGTCTCTGGTTGGCTCCATCAGTGCACTTGTTGAGAGGTAAGCTCTGAGGAGGGCTGGGCTCCAGGCATCTTGTGAGATCCTCACCAGCTGAAGGGAGGCATGTGCTGCAACAGAAAGGAGACCCTGAGCTTCTTAGGAACAGTGAGAAAGAACCAAAAGGACCATGGTGCAATAACCATCTGCTATATCATGACACAAGGACTCAGAGATAGGGCTGCCAGGCTCACCTACTGCATCTCCCATTCCAGGCAGTGCCACTGACCCCAACAGGAATCCCAGTATCAGTGGGACTGCAGGGTCACAACTCAGTCTCCCTGTCTGTGTGTAAACCCAACTCCACCCTGACCTCAGCACAGGAACAGTGATGACCTTTCTCTCAGAAGCAGAGACCAGGGGTGTGCCTCCCCTTCACTTTGTCTCACCCAGAAAATCTCCAGTCCTCCACCTCTGCAGGAAGCTGTCAGCAGCCCAGCTTTGGTCAGGGAAGCTGGGAGAGTGCAACAGAGAGCTCACTGTTTCCCCAAACACTGCTGCAGCTAAGAGCCACTGTTCACTGTTAACCACATCAGTGTCCACTGATGTGATACAAGTTCCAGTGCAGGGAATATCTTGTCAGCATGTTCTGACCATGACAGCTCCAACCATCACCTAATCTGGCTGTTCTGAGCTTCACTCCCATCTAAGCTGGGAGTACAGTGCCAAGGAGACATGCCCAGTTGCACAGACATCATGCCAGCTCCATCTGTTGGCTCCTCAGAGAGCAGAGGCTTCAGAGCCTGCAAACCAATCTGCTCCTCTCCCCTTAATAAAGCTGCTTTTTGGGCTGCAGTTTTCTACCAGAACACCAGTCCAAAAGCCACACTATGAACACCATGAACATCACAGCCAGTGCAAACTCACCCCAGTCTGCCCAGTTCCAGTTTGCTGAAGCCATTTGATTGAATGCTGCTCTTCTGGAGGAAGAACGACTTTGGCAATGACCACTATGGAAGGAGAGGAAGACAACAGAATGGCTATTTAAATCATGGCAAAAATCCCTCAAGCCTGCTGTGCTTTGCCATAGGCTGCCCTAGAGAGCTTCATCTAGAGCTGCCTCGCTGCTGCGCATTGTCACTGCCACCAGACTGTTCCCAGAATAGCAAACAGAGCAATCTTTGCTCTCTGCCTAATGAATCCCTCTGCTGAAAGTGGGAGTAGAGCATCTCGAGGTCAAAAGAGTGGATTTCTTTCAGAGTAGCATTCTGCTGTAAGGCACAGGAGTCAGAGACAGAGACAACTCCCTCACAGAGAGGAACAGTGGTCAGGACAAGTGCCAAATATGTAGGGCTGTGCCCAGTGCATCCAAGGATATTCAGATGCAAAATACTTGCAGATCTGATATGCTGTTCATGACTTCATGTTTGTGGGAAATAGGGCAGCATGGTTTTTTCCAGACTCCTGTAGCCTTGGCAAAGAGAGAAGAAGGCAAACAGGTAAGACAGGAGCCAGAGGAAGCAGAACAAGCAGGATCTCTACCCAACTCTGTGCAGATAAACAACCACTCTGCCTACCCTACCCACAGTTATACACACCATTTGGGCCAAATCCGTCCATGTCCCAGTGTGGTACCCTTTGACACACCAGTTCTTCAGCAGCTCCAGACCTGGGAAGTGACAGAAGACAATAAATGAGAACAAACAGCCAGGTTTACAGAGAGTTAAGCTTTCCCAGCTCAGGGCATGCAAATATGCTGCACTGACCACATAGAACATGCTATGCAATAACTACTTGAACACGTGCCTGAGCGCCAGCAAACACGGGGTAAACCAAGGGCGTTCACCCTTTGTACGAGCAAACATCAGTGCGTGGGCTGCTGCAGTGCTTGCCTTCCTCCCAGGGAGCCAAGACATTCCTTGCAGCAGGCTCAGCGAAACAGGAAAACTGGGGCAACACAGGATTTGCCGAATTAGACCAGACTGGCTGTCCCCCTGAGCCCAGTGCCTGCCAACAGCAGTACCTGATTTGGGCTGCACGGGTGAAAGTTCCCACCGTGCAAATGTAGAGCAGCTTTGCTGTCATCGACCCCTTTCCCAGAGGAGGGCAGCTCAGGCAACCTCCTCCTTGCACAGCACACATCAGCTGCAGCATCCCAGTGCATCTCCACCCTACAGGGAGCCATCCAGAGCTCAAGATGGGCTGAGACTTCATCCCTGACAAAGGGTAAGACTGGAACAAGCTGAGATCATCACTGGTATGACTGGAAGGGACCAGTCCTCCCACCACACAAAACACATGGTGCTCCAGAGCACAGCAAGGTCATTTTGAAGCAGAGCCATGTGTTCAACTGCACTGAACAGACTCCATTTCCTCCAGGGCTTCCTGCTCACTGTCCCCACTACAGCCAAGCACCCTGCTCTTTGGCCAACCCAAAAATATTGAGAAATCCAGGACTACTTCCATCCTGTTTTCTTATCTAAGGGCCTTAGGGTCATAGCAGAAGGCTAGGGTGACTTGAGAATTAAGAACCAGCAGAGCAATGGCTAGTCCATTGATGCTGTTCAGCTGGCAATACTGTTCTCTACTGTTATCTTTTCTATAAGATACCAGGAGAAATCCTTGCTGTCCAAAGCTTGTTCCTTGGTGACCTTTCAGCGAGTCCCAGAACATTGTTAAAAAAACCCCACATGCTGGGGGCCAAGGGGAGCAGGGCGGCTCAGATGCCTTCTCCTGGGTCTGTGCACCAGCCTGGGCTTTGCATCTTGCTGGCTAGGAAAAGAGGAGTGCTGCATGGAACACGGGGGAACAGGAAGGGAATGGGG